TAAATATATATAAATTAAAATTAAAAATATATAAAGAACTCGTGGGCACTCAATGAAATTGCTGAGCGGTGGGGTTAGAACGGATAAAAGGAAGTCCGTCTTCACGCAAAGAGGGATTAACACCTGGAATTCACTGCCACAGGAGGTGGTGGCAGCTACAAGCAGTGATGGCTTCAAGAGGAAATTGGATGAACATCTGGAGCAGAGATCCATCAGTGGCTATGAGCCATAAGGTATAGATATGGACTCTGGGGCAAGTGATGCTCTGTATTCTTGGTGCTTGGGGGGGGAGTTCTTGGTGCTTGGGGGGGGGAGAACAGTGGGAGGGTTTCTAGTGTCCCGGCCCCACTGGTGGACTTCCTGATGGCACATGGTGTTTTGGCCACTGTATGACAGAGTGTTGGACTGGATAGGCCTTTGGCCTGATCCAACATTGGCGTCTCTTATGTTCTTATATTAAATATATTTTCCATTATTCTCTTTGTAGGCTAGATAGTCATACCCACCCGCTCAGGCGACAGATTTGTGCATCTTAAAACTGGCTTCTTCTCTACAAGAACTTCTGACACAACACATTTATTAGCAGTGCTTTTTTAGTGTAGGTTCTCATGAAGAAAGGCACATTTTTTGAAGGGCTCTCCGAGTCCTATGGGGGGAATTGGTGGAAATTAGTGGAAGCTGTTATGTGAGTACTGACACCTTCCCTTCCCAGCCCTGTCTATTAGTATTCAAAGCGCCACTATGTACTTACAGAGTTCATGTAGCTTTAAGATCTGAAATCACTATTGCAGCTCTGCTGAAAAAGGGGTTGCTCTTATAGATCCTTTATTTTCTCATCTGGGGCCTCTTTGGGAGCAACTTAATGCTCATGAAAATCCTGGGTATTGTCGTTAAATCTTACCTTGAAACCTTAAAGCAGGAATTCCCACTGTAAGGAAGATCTTGGGAGTGTATAAACAAAAACGAGGCCGAGTCAAGCACTTTTCAAGCTGTATTTTCTTGCTTCAATGAGATTCAAGCTGCAACATCTGTGTCCACTTTCTTGAGAGAAAGCCACATTACTTCCATAGGACGTTTGAATAAAGAGAATACAATCTGGATACACAAATCATCATCTTTGCCACTGAGATCAACAGGATTGTAATTTTCACTTTACCTGGGTTGTGCCTATAAGAAGTAATACTTCCCCCCCATAACTAGCCAACTGTTTTCTGTGCATAGATTCAGGTGCGTAGCCATGTTGGCTTAAAGCAATAGAACAAAGCTTGAGTCCAGTGGCACCTTTAAGACCAACAAAGATTAACACATGCACATGAAACGTATACCCAGAATTAAACTTTGTTAGTCTGAAAGGTGCCACTGGAATCAGACTTTGTCTTATATGCCATATTTCTGAAGACCAACATGATCGCTACCGTTGGATTTTTATACAGAGCTGTTGCAGCTTTAAGGTCTGAAATCACGTCTCATGGGAGACCGGTTCTTAGTGCTATGTTATCACTCTGGGGGTGGAATGTGCCGCCAAGTCACAGCTGATTTATGGTGACCATGTGGGGTCTTCAAGGCAAGAGACATTCGCTGGGCGAATGAAGAGTGCAGGACTGGGATCCAACATTGGCATCTCTTATGTTCTTATGACTGCCCTCCCCACCAGTGTTCCCTCTAAGCTGAGTCAGTGTGAGCTAGCTCACAGTTTTTTTAGCCTCCAGCTCACACATTTTTGTCCCAGCTCAGGAAGGAGCAAACTGATTGATGCAGTAGCCAAATGACTTGCTCACAACTTTAATGCCAGTAGCTCACAAAGCAGAAATTTTGCTCACAAGACTCTGCAGCTTAGAGGGAGCATTGCCTGGCTCGATGGGGGAGGGGGAGGGGAATAGCACACTCTTTATTCCCCCAAGAGTTGGTGCCTTGGCCAGGCATTAAGAGTTCTGGACTCCCATTCCCACCTGGCACCCAAGAACACTCAGAGGTGGCTTGCCATTGGCCGCCTCTGTGTCATGGCTGCGGTGTCTCCCACCCAAAGACTCTCCTGCGCTGACCTGGCTTGGCTTCCAAGGTCTTCCAAGACTGGGCTAACCTGGGCTGTCCAGGTCAAGGCCAGGTCATCACGGTAGGAGATGGGGGAAAGTGACTTCTTTTACTGACTGAATTACATGGCAAATGTTTATCTTAAGAGGGTGTTTGTGCCAATCATTTGTTTAAGCGGACATTGCTTGGAAGTGCCACTGGCACATTTTAGGCACCCCTCGCTATACTGCAAAAAGTATGTAGATTAAACCATCCATGGTTTGGGACCAACACACCTAAAAGACGGTCTGCTCCCTTATGAACCTGACTGACCACTAAAGCTCATCTTTGGAGGCCCGGGTGTGGGTGCCCCCGCCTTCTGAGATTAGGTGGGTAGTGAACCAGGAGGAGGGCCCTTTTGGTTGTGGCACCAAGGCTGTGATGTCCTGGCCCCACTGCTGGACCTCCTGAGGGCCCCTGGTATTTCTGGCCACTGTGTGACACAGAGTGTTGGACTGGATGGACCTTTGGCCTGATCCAACATTGGCGTCTCTTATGTTCTTATGTGATCACACAACCGAAATAATCCACTTTCAGTGCACTTTCCAACTGGATTTTTACTGTG